TCATTAATATATTTCAGTCAATAACATATATCAAATGGGTTTTGTGGATATTATAGTAATTTCAATGGTTAATATCATGAGTCAGTTGAAGCTAGACCACCATGGGAAACCTGGAAGCACTGGACGGTCGTTTCGTCCTATCGTGGAACTCCTCAGCAGTGCGCATCCACGACCTCGCCCCTGCGAGATTCGAACCCTGGACCTGTCACTCTCGCGCCAGGCGCTTAGCCAACTAGACCACTGAGTTGACATTCTATGGTGTTAATGTCTAACTTCAACCAATCCACATAGTTGCGCTACCGTACACCATTGTCATCAGTGAGTTGATATCTCACAAGCGATCTAACATTAATCAATTTATGATCTCAATCAAAAATTCTATAATCTTTACAACCCTTTACTATTAATTATCATGTGCTAAATAATGATTAGCTTTGAGAGGTAATTTCTTGGAGTTCTAATGAGAAACTATGATCAGTGAAGTTAATCCATGACAGGTAGAGATACATATCTATCTTAGATAATGGAAGATAGTAATATTTTTTTTGTTTAAGTAAAATTATCCTTGTTAGTTTTTAATTTCATTAATTCATATTTCTAAATGAAGGTTACATAGTTATGACACATTTCTTAATGTATAGATTTTAGTTTAAAAGTGTGAAGCTGACATTTCAATAGTTTTTAATAACAGCTCCGTTAGAACATCTTTGAATGTCAACTTGATTGGTGTTAGTTCAAATCTCTATGGCAGTATCAATGTTTAAAAGACTGTCAACTATCATGAAATCTAAGGTTAAAGAAAGGAACTTTTATTTTGATTCGTTATCAGTAAAAATTGCTTGAACTATAGAATATTATGCATAAATTTTAGTTTCAATACAAATAGTACAATATATTTTCAGTGAACGGTACTGAGTTCGAGTGCCGGAGAGATCATCAACTCAGATGCAGGTACATTCAGCTGACAAGTCCTAAATAAGAAAAAACATGAGTCTTGGATTCTACTATTATCCACTATTCATCTTTGCTTAGAATGCTTTTGACTTCATGCAATATTGAAGCATTCTGCACAGGAAGTACATATGCCAACAAATGAGTGACCAATCACACTCCTAAGCATCAATGGGAAGATTCAAGTAAACAATACGAAGTGAATTTATTCAGAAATAATTTATCTTTTATGTGAACATCATTCATAATTACATTAAAAATGATCCCCAAATGCCCTGATACGGCCGAGAGTTGGGAGAGTTCGGTCTCCCTCTCGAAATGCTTTCCCATGGCCATGCGTATATAGCCTCTGCTAGGGAAGTCCTACTCACTGCCTTCTGGTGGCGGGGGTGTTGTTTACGAAAATGAGAGGACGAAAAGTGAATGTCCGGCGCTTTAACCGGATTCAAAACCAATGGTGCACATGGGCTCCAGTATCCTGCGGGAACAAATGGCGTATGAACCAATTGTTGGTCACCGGCTTCCATGGGACTGCATCTCCCTACGATGCTCCACTGCCTTGTGGATCAGATCTTCAGGTCGAAGGCTCGGGGAGTGGCACCTTAAGAAAACCACCTGCTTCGGTTTGGGCACCCGGGACAGTATCACAGCCCTCACACATATCGAATGAGATTTGTGTGGCGCATATGTATTTGGTGCCTCTTTGTACCAATATCTATGTGTTGAAATAAATAATAATAAATAATATAAATGAAATCTAGTCTCTTTAATTCTCGTGATAAGTATGTTACTAATCAGGCGTGATCAGTGTCTTCCATGAATGAATAATATCAAATCCTGATTTGTTATTAACAAACGAAATAATTAAGTATATTACCTCACTTTTAATATTTCACAATCCAATACCTTCTAATATTTTAAATTCAATACAACTATCCAACGCTCACTGATTTTTAGTTTTTATTTAACTAACGTTAGATTTTTTTGAATCACTTTTTCTGGTTACTATTTTCTTAAAGAGTTACAAATCAGATCCTAGCGGAGGAAGAAATTAGGAAGAAACACTGGAAGTGGATAAGATACATATTGAGGAAAGCACCCAACTGCGTTACAAGGTAAGCCCTCATATGGAATCCTCAAGCATAAAGGAGAAGAGGAAGACCAAAGAATAAATTACGCCGAGAAATGGAGACAGACATGAGAAAAATGGACAAAAATCGGACAGAACTAGAAAGGAAGGCACAGAACAGTACGGGTTGTAGAATGCTGGTCGTCTACCTATGCTCCATTCTGAGTAACAGACGTAAATAAGTAAGTAAGTAAAACGTTGTATTTTTATGTAAATTAGGAATTGAATAATCACTATGAATTTCTAAGGCTAATAAAACATAAACTGTACTACACATGTTTATATACTTGTTTCATAAATAAACGGAATGTTTTCGATAAAATCAAACAATAATAAGAATTTAGATGATCAATAGGAACTGTACTGTAAACATACAACCCTTGGCATATATATTATTCAGAAAAAAATATATAAATTTTCGGCGAGACTCTAATTTATGGACGAACTAATCAAAGGCGTTTTAGAGATTTCAGTGTTACGGCGCCAACTTCAATGCTTAATGCTAACGTACGATCGGTTCACAAGGAATTTTGTACAAAACGTGATAATCGAGTGGCTATAACAAATAAAACGGTTAGACTATAAATTGTGGACGAATCAATCAGGTATAAGTTAATAGATCTCAGATTTCAATGCGAAAGCCCTTCATCCATTTGGCTAAATAAATTTCTGGCATTATAGCTGATGTCTAAAATATATACGGATGCTTGGAGAGCTTACAGACTCCCACATAGGCTTGGTTATGCTCATCCTGTCGTTATCCCCAAGTAGCATTTTGTGCACTCAACAACCGGAGTGCACATATTGAAGCACAATATTAAAGCTATGCGGTCTAGGCTGAGAGAGTTTTTGAAACTTTATGATGGCTCCATAGGCCGACTATTCTGTAGCCGTTTGGATGCTTTCCTCTACTGCATGGATTACGATTTTAGAACCCCTGAACCTCTTTCTAACCTTGACAAATTTTTGAACCACGTATATGAAGTGTATCCACTTAATTTCCTTTGTTTTGTATAAGATATTTTTACTCTATACTGACTGTTTGCTGATTGGATAATATTTCTCAAGGTTACTTAAGATTCGTTCGAAGATCGTCCATAAATAAGAGTTTCGCTAAATATTCAATCATATGTTAATCATTTGGTATTGTTTAGTTCCATCAGTTAGATCTTTGGGTCTTGGATCATTTTATGTTGGTGTTGTTATTCTGGGCAACATAATTATCAGTGCTTACTTCATGTTAAAATAAGTTATTTATATATAATTCATGAGTCAAAAATTAGTTCACCACATATTTCTTTATCATTTTTTGTTTGTATTCAAGTTAACTGTATTGTTCAGTTGTTATGATCATATGGTTGACAGAACATTTTTGTATGAGTTGTTAGATCGAATCAGTCTAGATGTGTCTATCTTTTGTCAACTGATCGGAATAAAGCGAGTGTTGATGATGTCATCTACAATGATAACGAAAGCTTTGCAATTAAACCATATATTTCAGAGAATTCGACAATTCTAAAGAGTCGACCTTCGATCATTGGAGTTTCCAGAGCATTGATCATTTATTTTGGAACCACTGAAATATCAGTTCTTATGTTTGACTCAGAGTACCAAGTAAGGACGCCAAGTACATTGGTGAGGTAGTAAATGTTTATCAACTGGAATGGTTGGGACATGTATTACACATACCCAACCATTATCTACCACAATGAGCCATGACGTCTGAGAAAGGAATAGGTTGGAAGAAGACTACAAACGACTAAACCAAAACGTGGCATCAATTCATTAAGTTATCAGCAGTTGAGAGAACGAAAAGTGAATGTTCGGCGCTTTAACCGGGTTGGTGGACACGTAGAGTCCATCTACGGGAGTTGGAAAACTCTCATTCCAAACCAATGGTGCACACTTGCTCCAAGATCCTGAAGGAACAAATGGCGTACGAACCAATTATTGGTCACCGGCTACCATAGGAATGCATCTTCTGACGTTGCTTTATTGTCTTGTAGGTCAGACCTGTAGGTCGAAGGCTCCGGGTGTGGCTTCCTTGGAAAACTGCCTGCTTCAGTCTGGGGACCCGTGCAGTATCACAGCCTACACACAAATCAAGTGACTTGTGTGACACATATGTATTAGGTACCTCTGTTCAAATATTTATTTGTTCAAATAAATAAATAGCAGTTGTATTGAGCCATGTAGGTATACACAAACTACGTAGTTCAAGTATGCACCATTATCTTCTCTTAGGTCCTAATTTTATAAATTTCTTATGCAGTTTGGTTTTGTTATTTCACTAGTTTTAATTTTCTTAAATCCATTCTTCCAATTCTAATCTGTTGCCACTTATAGTATGTGCTACTGATATCTACGTAAGTAGTATACAACGCCAGTCAGGAATAGAACGTCTGGCAGCAGACGATTCAAAAGATAAAGGAGAAAAGTACAAAAACAGAAAGCAATTGGTATGGAAATACTGGAACACTGAAATTTGAAATGATTGAGTGATATTTACAAAAAAAAACAATCAAGTTTAAGACAATTGATTGACATTTTACAAACTAAATATTCACTGTATGATTCTTAGATTTTACTAAGATGTTCTATAATTCAATACAATTAATTGTCCCCACTTGTGTTCTCGTTCACTACACTACTATACCTGAATTACTCCTGATCATTCCATCTCATTGTATTGATAGGGTCTTGCAACATTAACCAATGGAAACATGTCCCAAGTTTTCATGTTGCATATGACTAACTAACTGACTGACTGATTTACTAATCTTAACTGTAAATCATCTCTATTTCAACTGTTATACAAGAGATGTTAATACACATTTAAACATTCTAAATAAGTATACACTTACATATACAAAGTACAACTATCACTTTATATACAATAACAAACATATCAATCACTTACTATAAATCCACGATACCATTGTTTAATTTGTTTTTTTGTAAAATTTGTATTCGTTCTTAAAAATTCTAAATCTTCTTTTGGTAATTTTTTTCTTGATCCTAAAATATTACCCATTTTTTTCTTTCTTTTTTATTCTTCGTTTTTTTTTCTTCTTTTTATGTTATCAATTGCATTTAATCAATAAAGGAAAATAGAATTTTGGAAAATCTAAAATGACAAAAGAGAAGAAAGGGGGAGAGAAAAAATTAAAAAAAAGAACATCAGCATTGAACATTGAAAACAAAAAAAACAACAACAGTTCATTAGAATTTCACCAATGAACCTATTCAATATTGTAAATCTCGAAAGGATTATATTAATAAAAAAAATTGAGTAATAGTCTTGAACAAGTACTACTCTTAGTAGTATGAGGATTTGTGTAGATGATAGTAACTCACATACAGTTGAGTTTGTTCACATTTAAGCACATTTGTTAACTTATTTAGCGGACAGAGTCATCCGTACTATAACAACTTAATATGCCATTGTTATTATTGTGCTTGTATGAAATATGTATACTTGAACATGGTTTTTCCGCCTACGCATGTATTCATTCTGATAGCTTTATTATTATCTGCTTAATTGATTCGATGATCCATTCATTTCCCTATATATATAAACATGTACATTTAACACTCTCGCTAACTCACTCATTCGCCTCACTGCTTTGTGGTCTGAGTTATCTGCTAATAAAACTGTAGTCGCTGCTTCTCTTTGCCTTCTGATTTCAAACACCGTTGAGGATGATATGGTAATGGTTACAAGGTTGATTCGTCAACGAAGCATAGCCACTACAAGTTTGATGATAGACTGATCTTAGTTAGATAACCGTTGAAGATCAAAAAGCGTTGAATGGATGGATGTGTTCACTATTGACTAATTTTTTGTGGGCTAGATAGAGATTCGTAATGATCATGTTGCATGTGAGTTAGTTAATTACCAATGGGATTGAAAGATGGTTGATTAATATTGTGAATTGATTGAAGTTAGAAATGTACACAATTAGATGGTGGTTGAGTGGTTTTAAGGTTAAGCAGTTACCGCGAGACGTTAAGTTAAAGTAAAAATTATGAACTATTACAGTTAAGCTCAATGGTCTAAAGATAAGATACTGACCACTGAGCCTAATATTTGATCCATGATGTGGTCGTATGTGTGTGTGTATGAATGTTCCTAGAGAATATCATAACCAGTTGAAACAGCTAGTATGAGACGTAAATCATTTTCCATTTAAAGTAAGAAAAGATCAAATTATCAACGAATCCATTATTAAAAATAGCTATTCCATACTTAGAAAATACCATCTCATGTATGAATTTCTCAACAGTGAGAATCTTTTGTTTCGTTTTCAGTCCATAAAATTCCTATTTGATTATAGATACTCAGTGTAGTGAGCAACACGAAACGAACACTTAAACTCAACAAGAAGTCAAGTTGGAATAAAATTCATAAAGTCGCTTTAACTGTTGTGTGAATAATAATTTAGTTATCAAAAGTTACACAAACTAATTTGAATCATATAAGACAAACGAAATACAATTCTAATTTACCAAAACTAATTGACGTAAACGTATTTAATATCGATAAAATTTTATTGTCTGTTAATACTTGAACACTTTAAAATCCATCTACAAAAACCCTAAATAGTGGACAAAATGACATATAAATGAACAAATATAGATGTTCAGATCAAAGTTCGTAAGGATTTTTGGATTGACATCATCAACTGATTAGTGTTAGATCGCTATTGAAAACCTGGAAGCACTGGATGGTCGTTTCATCCTGTTGCGTGACTCCACAATTCCGCCCACGGGATTCGAGCCCAGGACCCATCGATCTCACGCACGGACGCTTAACCTCTAGACCACTGAGTCGGCCGACATTCATCGTTGTTAATGTCTAACTTCAACCAATCCACGAAACTGCACGACTATCCTCCACTGTATTGAGATAGATACCTATCTCTACTCGACACAGATTAAGGATTGTTCAATAAGAAGTTGCCATTGATCAAGAGGTAACATTAGTTAGAAAACCTTTCACAAACTGAGCAACAATTACACTTAATAGATTACTAAGTCATAACTAATATTATCTTTATTTAGTCATTAGTGTTAATCTAATTCTTTGAAGAGAGTTCTAATATCATGATGAATCTGAGTGACTTGATATTATATGCATTATGTTAAACTGTTAGATGATAGTTAGAGGTTGTTTTGTATTTTTGGACAGTTTTTCCAATCATCTAATAACTAAACAACATTCAATAGTTCGTATATCACCGTTTTCAACGTTCTATAAAGAATGTCTCCATGATTGTTGTTAAGATGGATATAGAATTAAATTTTAAAATGAATAGAAAGAATCGAAGTTATTTTATTGAAAGAAAAAACATTTAGATCAAATGAAAATTACCTATTTATCATCAATTAGTTAACTAAAAACTTTAAAAAAAAGAACCCAATCTATATAGGAAAGTAACTTTTTTTACCACATTATAACTCTCATTCTAAATGCGTACAGGTTTCCGTTTGTTTCCGTTTTGTTTGTTACATTTCAGTGTATATTAACACTAATCAAGTGAATGAATTCATTGTGTATGTATGTATATATGTATGTATGTATTAGTGAATACATGGAATATTGATTCGATAATATTTTATGCACTGTTGAAGCATTGGCAATCTACGAACCTAAACTTGAACTTTGCGTGCAAAAACGATTCGTTCAATCTCTTATCCTTCGTTGACCTTAATTCCCCTTAATGGTATGTGCTACTAATATCGATAAATATAAGTAGTATCCATCTTTATTCGAAAGTAAAATAACTATTTTTTGTTTAATTTAAAATGTTATAACTTTCATTCTAAATGCATACAGATTTCTGTTTGTTTCATTTCAGTAATATGTACTAACACTATTCAAGTGAATAGATTCATTGTGTATGCTGTGTGTATGTATTAGTGAATACATGGAAGATAAATGTATTTTGTTCCTAATTCATTTAAAATATCAACATTATACGATAGTTTGTTGCTCGTCACTTTTTTCTTTTTTCTCTATTCTTTTTCTCTTTTTTCATTTTCCTTTTTCTCTTTTTTATTTTTCTCTATTTTTTTTCTTTGCACTTAAATAACATTTTTATTTATTTAAAACTTGATAATTTATTATCATGAATTTACTTTATACAAAAATTCAATTGTAATTTTTGTATATGACTAACAGGGAATTGAAGACCAGCACGAGCTGACCTTGTTTTAGCCGTACTATGAACTTTCTCACCTTTACCGTGTCCACTCATTATTTTAAGAAGTAGAGAAAGGTGTATATTGTATAATACACTTCATTTATTCGTCTACAGCTTATTTTAAAATGAATTAACTAAGATTAAAATGAATTGTAATTAGAGAGTTGATGTTTTTTTATATTATAATTGTGTGTAGTTTGATCTATTTTTCTACTTTTAATCGTTGAGATCTTTGGTGGATTTATATAACGACACAGATATAGAATCTCATACTAGGACGAAATAATTGTTAAGATCATTCTGGCTCTTAATGGGTTAATGAGTCAATTAAAACTGGACCACCATGAAAAACATGAAAGCACAGGACGACTGATTCATCCTATGGTGCGACTCCTTGGCACTGCGCATCCACGACCCTGCCTCGCGGGATTCTAACCCAGGACCTATCAGTTCGCGCCAGGTGCTTAACCAACTAGACCACTGAGCCAGCCGGCATCCAACGGCGTTAATGTCTAACTCCAACCAATTCAAGAAATTCAGTGACACATCCACCACTGTCATCAGTGAGTTACTATCTCACAACAGACTCGGTCGAACTCTACTGGTCACTGCTTCTCACTAGAACTCCAGGAAATACCTCTTGAAGCCAGAATAGAAATGTTAATAAACAAATCTTAAATCAATAGCTGAAAAATTAAATGCTCACATTGAAGCATGTACGTCATGGATACATACTGTTAAATGGTCATATCCTAGTAAGATATAGCTATCTAATACTTGCAAAATTTTTATAATTGCGCAACCACAATCAGTCTGTGATGAGAAACTATAAATTCAATATACTCTATAATAGCTTATACAGACAATTCTTCTCCTTTTTTTTGTTAACTGGTTAGTATAGTTGTTATACATTGAAATTCTGATTCAAAGTCAACTCCTGATCGATTAACTTAAATATTGAGAAAAAATGAAATGAAAGAAATTTCTTTGTTGAAGTGAGTAACTGATTTAAGTCAAATTAAATATTCAATGTTTTAATCAAAAGACAGATGATCAGTACCATTTCAATTTGTTTTAAGAGATAAACTAATAATGTCATTTCAGACACATGCTAACTAGTGTTAGGGATGGTTGGAAGAAAGTTAAACGGGGCCAAACCAGCCAAAACGTAGCATCAGCGCTTGAAATCACTAACTTCTAGTCTTAAACATGTTGGTAGATGCAAACTACTTGATTGGGGTCCGCGTGACTATCGTAACCAATGGTTATAGATTTTGGGTTCAGAATCGATCAAAATGGCGTAGGTGTATACACTCCCTGTCTTCCCTTAAACTATGAGATTAAAATCGCTTCATATCTTTCTTTCTACCAACTAATTCTTTCTTCCTGTACTATACTACCACCATTGAATTGACTACTTCTATGAATCTGGTGTTCATCTTGTTGTGCTAATGAGGTATCGCGACTTGGACCGATGCATATATTTTACTGGTCCTACTTTGTAGCTGACTGACTGATTTCAGATACTGCAGAGATATAACTTATATTTAAAAATATAGCACGTTAACTCTATAAATAAGTGTTGTGTTTGGTTTCAGCCACTATTAATGTCATGTGATGCAATTCTAGTCATACCAATAACATGTATCATACTGGACAATAAATTTCTACACACTACACATATTTCATTCACTATAATTGAGTGAATTCCTCAATCTCACTAATTCTACTTTTGAAATTACTTGTAATTATTACTCATGCTTGATAATATATTGAGAAGGTACCGAACTTGTCAATTTTATCGGCGAGACTATAATTTATGGACGGA